CTCATTTTCTCCTTTTTTGTTTTTGAAAATTCAATCTATCCTTTATAAAATTGGGATTTTTTCTAAAGATTTATTCGCTTGAGATGAATAAACAGAGGGAAGAAAGTAATATAGGGTGGTTGGGTACGTATATTGGAGAATAGATATGTATGACTAGTAAAGTATTCACTAAAGGATTCAGTACAGAATAATATAGAAAGATACAGAACGAGGGAGCGAGCGTCAAACAGACACCTAAATTTTTAAACTCAACCACGAACAAGATTACTTATATGCAGATTAGATAGTTTCAATCCTCAGAATCTACTATCTGTTTAAAAAGGCTTAATAATTGACATACACATTATTACATTGCCCGATTAGCTTGTATTCTGATCACTAGTTCAATTAAGCCGACTTAAAACCCAAGGATTTATACAAGATCTATACGTCGCCAAAATCCAGTTAAATCTTCAACTTTCTGAATTTTGACAGAAAATCACATAAGCTTTACATGAATTAAGCTCTTTTGCGATCATCCATACATATATTCATTCTACATTCTTTCTCGCTCTTCAATTCTCTATTAATTCCATTCATTGTGTCTGATCCTGGGCACCTGTTATCACTCCTTAATTTCTAAGAAGAAGAAGAAGAAAAAGAAAAGGACACAACTACAAAAACAACTTCAAATCATAACGGATTTCCTTTCTTTATCCTTAATCATTATCAAACGAAAAGAAGAATATAGAAATACTAATAGTAACAATAACAATAAACTAAAAGAAGCCTAATTTGTTTAGGATTTACTTGTAAGTCTCATGAATAATCTTATTTGATTTCCAAATTTTTTTAAACAAAACATAATATGATAGTAATATTTTACTTTTATTAAATAAGTTTGTGGTAAGCATTTCTGTATTGTCTTATTAATTAAATCCATTATAGTAGTATATATAGTAGTAGGGTAATATTTCTGATCATTCATAAATATTTTTTTTAAGAGAATACTCTTTATACCTTGTTATAATGAAAAAACTAAAGAGTACAAGTGTAAAAATCCCTTCGTAGTCCACACATTTCTTGACTGAGAAGAAATGTAGTTTGTTTAATATACTAGATTAATCAAAAATATTTTTGTTCAATGAAAGGTAAATAGAAGGTCATGATGCCAAACCTCACCAACTGATGTTCGTTTTCTTCGAACAACACTATTCATTTCAAACACTTCTTTCGTGACAGGCACAACATATTTATATAAATTGTACTGTCTATGATATATGTTTACCATGTAAGGCAATTGTCGTATTGTATCAAATCATCGTCAATATCATCTGAAGGTTTGCAACAATATGAAAACAATATGTTTTGGGTTTTAAAAATTTTATCAAATTTTATCGGTTCCAAATCAATATTATACTTAATACAAACGAAGTTTGTTAAAGTAATTGATTTTCATCTAATAACTAATAACAAATTATCGGAGGAGAATGTATTTATATAAGGGACTTGTGAAGATTGTAAAATTTCTCCAGTTTGAACTACAAATTAATCTTAGCTAGACCACCATTGAAAACCTTGAAGCATTTAATGAGTGTTATTTCTTAGTATAAGACTCTTTCAGCAGTTCATACGACGATCCCAAGACAGTTATCCACCCTAGCTAATGGAAGGTGATCATGCAATGTCGGTTGAAGTTAGAAATCAATAACATTGGATGTCCCGTTAATGGTTTAGGAGTTAGGCATTTACACGCGAAACCGAAGGTCTTATGTTCCATTCCCTCTGATAGGCGGTTGCGAATGTACACTGTTGAGAAATCCAATATAAGAACGAAGCGGTCATCTAGAGCTTCTGGATTTTCAATTATGTTCCAGCTAAGATCAGATCATGATATAAACTGTGGAAATATATTTGTATAAATAAGATTACACTTCTCATTAGTAATACTATACAAAATTCAAAAAGAATGAACTTATGATACTTAAAATCCAAACAAATCAATGTTAAATATTATATTACCATAATCGAATATTATACCGTTAAATTTTGTTGTTTCTTATATCCCACATTTGTGTCATACTCTAGTCCGTGAGCTAATATTTTAAATCAAATCATCATAGTCTTAGGGAAGTAAGAAAAAAAAAGAACATTGATTAGAAGTATATACTGACACTTCCAATAAATGATCGTTTCTTTTCTGTGTATCGTAAGATAGAGAAATATAAATCTGAATACGCATTAGTATAAACAGATAGCACTTAAGGATATAAATGATCCATTTTATGTATTGTCTTATCGTATATTTTCAATACATAAGTGCATAAAGTATGCATAAAGCATAAACTTTTAATATGTGTCAACCTTAAAGTACAACAAATGACTTCCTTGTTATTTATTGATGGATGACTAAACAACATTATGAACCGATATGTAAACAAAAAGTAATTATTATAAACAAAGATGGATAGTGGCTAGTAGTGGAATCCAGTTTGACGCGTATTTCGTCCTATTTGGGACTAGTCAGATGGATGTACCTGCACCTCAGAGTTGATGTTCATTCTGGGACTCGAACCCAGTACCTTTCGCTTCAAACACCACTCAGTTACTGAGTCCTGATAGCCAATTGTCATCGAAATCTCAACTATAATAGTATTGGTAGTGGAAGTAGTACTGGCAGATGAATTATCATAAATTACCAATATGCACACGTCATTTGAATATACTTTGCATCCTACAGAAGTATTTCTATGGAAACTTTGCTTCATTTTTAGAGTTTTCAATTTTGTTATTTGTGATGATAAAAATATTTATAACTTTATACTTCACAGTAACCGACAGATTAATGCTCCAATTTTATTGTCTTTAGGCTAAATCCCTAAACTATCCTATCGAATCTTTTATATTTCAACTTTTCAAATAAAATGTTTTTGGATACAACTAATGTATGGTAGTGTGTATGCAGTTGAGGAGTCTCGACCAGGAATGAAACACTTGTCTAGTTCTATTGCACAAGCAAGTGGATGTCAGGACTAGGTAGCCGAGTGGATAACGCAATAGCGTTTGAAGCGAAAGGTACTGGGTTCGCGTTCCAGAGTGAACATCAACTCAGATGCAGGTACATCCATCTGATGAGTCCCAAATAGGACGAGACGCGCGTCCTGAATTCCACTGCTAGCCACTATCTATCTTTGCTTATAATGCTAGGTCTATTTGGTTTGTTTTTATTGCTTCTTCAGATAAGCCCATGAATAAAGGTGTTATTATAACATTCAAAGATCTGAACATTATCGCCTTACTTGAAATAATCCAGTTACTTAATGATATCGAATTGAAAGTCTTTAAAAAGTTAACAAAGAGGAAATTACTAACTTATTTGCACAATAGTGTATTTTAATAACTTTCGCTTCGTACTGAACGAAAAATAAACAATCCAAACTTTATTTCTCATCTTATTCAATGAGAAACTGATGATCTATACTTTGCTAAGTAATGACAATAAATTGAATGAGAAATACCTACTGATTATGATAGTCCATTATTGAAGAATAATTATACATATATGTTATAAGCAATCGGGTATACAGTTTCGTTTTAATAAACAATATTACGTTTTATACAGCTTCCATTAATTAACTCATTATCCAACAAAAATGATTCCGTTCTTTGTCATTGTACACCTAACCTGTTTAGGTCTGTAACTTACTTGTTACATGACGGAAGAAAAATTGCAAAACAGAAGTTATCCCTACATTTAATTCTATAATGAAAATTATTCTGAAATATCTACAACCAAGTGACCAAATAGACGAAGACATAACCGTAATAACTGGTTACGATATATTTAGATGACTTGACAACGTAGAGTTTATCCCCAGCCTATATATAATATATATATATATATATATATATATATATATATATATCATGTAACTGTAAAGTTTCGATAGTAAGAGCGGCTTTATACTTTTGTGACTGGAGATAAATACCCGTGTTGATGACTTTTGTAAAAATGTCCAGTACTTCCAGGCTTTCCACGGTGGTCTAACTTCAATTGACTCATGATTTTAACTATATAAAATATGATGTATAATTTAAATTTGTATAGCAACTTCAGTGATAAATACTATACTATTCATATATAGAAAATTTCACTGATTGACACTGGTATCAAGTTTCGAAATTTAGATTTAAATATTAATTAATGAATAGATTACATAAGCTATGAAGACAAAATAAAGTTATAATTAAAATGAAAGATTTAAACAAGTTCACTTATTTATTAGGAATATTTTTACTGAAAAGTATTAAAAATCAACATATATACGTAATATTAATAGTTGAATTCATGAATCCATGTAAGCTAGACCACCACTGAAAGCCTTAAAGCACTGGACAGCTGTTTCATCTTAGTATGGAACTCCTCAGAAGTGCGTATTCATGATTCAGCACGTGAGGCTCGAACCGAGGGCCTTCCGTCTAGTTCGCAAACATCTAACCTCCAGACCACTGAGCCGGCATCCAACTGTATTAATGAATTCATGAATTCAACTATTAAAATTACCACAATTTCTACAAACGTCCATTCTGATATATATGTAATATTGTGTAGTATGTTTGATCATGATCTTAACGCAGTACTACAAGTCATTATATAAGACGTTTTTTTAAAAGAAACTATTCATCTAATACAACAAGTAAAAACATTTGTTGTCTTATACTGTCATCCATTGAATGATCACTAGAAATTGGGAAACACTGAATACCTCTTAAATATTAGTATCTGATTATTTAACGCTACATATCAAGAATTCTGAAGATTCTAAATTTCATTCCATATGACATTCTAAATATCATTAAAAACAAGTACTTTTTACTTCTCTTCTGCTAATGTTCATTTGCCATAGAAATCATCTTATGAAAGGTAATGAAAATAATCTTCATAAATCTTGATTTGTTTTCCTATGAATAATAAAATATCTGAATATATTAACATGTTTATTTTCCAGACCTTAGAATCAATGTACATTCCACATACATCAGATCTTATTATATCAAACAGTACTTTACATTCAACAAATACTATTACTATTATGAATACTAATATGAATGAACAAAATACTATTGAATTATGTAAATTACAAAAATTTAATAAAAATGAAATCAATAATGATCATGATTTTGGAAATTATTCTAATCCAGATCAAATTTATTCCATAAATAAAAATTTATTTAAATATGATTTTGATAAATTTAATACATCTTATACAATTGATTTGAATACTCAATTAACACCGATTAAATTACATAACAATACTACTAATAATAGTAATAGTAATAATAATGATAATAGTGGTAATATTAAAAAATCATTACCCCCCGACTTATCAATGAATTATCAAACTGAATTAATTGAACGAAATACAAAATCTTTTAATTTTAAAAAAGAAACCGTACATCACAAAATAATTGATAATAGTAATAATAACATACATAATAAACATGATCATCATAATCATTTGAATGCTCTTAGTAACAATGTATTTATCTCTGATAGTTTTATTCATCCTATTACTATGAATTCAACATCAACAACATCTTCTGTGTTACATTCAACTCATTCACATCATAATGGGATAGTTTCTAATAACTTACCAAAATCAAAACATCATCAGCCAACAATAAAAAACTTTAATGATCATATAAAATCAAATTTTGATATGTATGAACCAAATATGAATAATTCATTAACAAATAAAAAATTATCATGTCGTCCACAATTTAATAAACGTCAACGACGTCAAAGAACACATTTTACTAGTCAACAATTACAAGAATTAGAAGCAACATTTGCTAGAAATCGTTATCCTGATATGAATTTACGTGAAGAAATAGCTACATGGACAGAATTATCTGAAGGTCGTGTAAGAGTAAGTTAATTATTTGATTAAAAAAAAATTAATTAATGGTTAATTAAATTCATTTGGTATTGTGTGTTTGAATCTTCTCATTGATGTATAGGACTTCAATTGATCAGTCCATCTTTACCTATAATAGATAATTAGTTCAAAATATTTATATATTTTATTTTTCTCTTCTATCAAAGAGTCCGGTGTTAATGTCATCAGTCAAGTAATAGTTGTCTAAGATTTAATATGACTATTAGGTGGTTAAAGGTAAACTGTAAGTAGGAGAACTTGGGGTTGATATATTTTATTACATTAATAATCTGTGGATTATAGCATCTAAATCCATTTATAAAGTAGTAACCATCCGTATTATTAGGATTTATGAGAAACCAGACATCTGAACACTTTAAAAATGAATTAAATAAGTGTTACCTACGAATTAAAACGTCGACCGTTTATTACTATAAGATGTCAGATTTATACTTTACGATCATTTAATCTGGTTTGACTACAATATACACTCGCTTCCTAAACGCCTTAGCTAACTATTATGCAAGTGAAAATATTTAAAAAGCTACATTTTCAAAATTGAACGAATGTGTACGCAATTCATCTGTAGATGTACATAACAATTATTGTTATTATTATTAATCGCTTTATTCAATATTATATTTTTGGTACAATATAGAATTCTCAGCATAAAGTATTTCAACAAGTTTCCGTTTCTTATTTCTTGATCGATCCTGACGATAAATATTCAGTGATCGCCAGTTAGTTACCAGCATTTCAGAAGTCTATAATCTAAATAGTGTACATTATTTTCACTGCATATTGCCAACAACCACAATGTCTTTGATTGTACTTTTTTGTAACTTGTACAACGAAAGGTGGTAGACTTTTCAGAAATGCTCCTGAATAGGTTATGTGATTAATGTACATAATTATGGATTAAAACAAACAAGAAAACCGATAACTTGTTGAAATATCTAAATGGGAGGAACAGGTAGTCCAGATATTCAAGCATGTCACCGTCTATTTCTATATGAAGTCTTACTTACTTACACCTGTTACTTCTAATGGAACATAGGCTTCCGACCAGCGTTCTCCAACCCACTCTGCCCTGGGCCTTCCTTTTTAGTTCTAAATGAAGTCTTAGCTAAATAAAAATGAACCAGAAAAAGCTTTTCTCTTAATATAGATCAACAATGAATGAAGTAAAGTATCAACCCTGTCTTATCAATCAACTTAGCATAGTCGTCATATTCAAGAAGAGTGTCAATCAATGTAAATTTTAATTTTGTACAGTAAATATGATACTAAAAACTTGTCAACCGTTTTCACATAAAGCAATTTCTAATTTTATAAGGAAAATGGGAATGATTTATCGTAAATTGTTTCAAGATTTCATTTTACTTGTTAAATTAAGTATTGTATTAATTATCAGAAGGGGTTTTGTGGAGATTTAGTATTTTTCATAATTGAAAGCGTGAGTCAATTGAAGCTAGACCACCATCTCGCGAGAGAGGGTTCGTGGATGCGCACTGTTGAGGAGTCCCATAATAGGACGAAACGGCCGTCCAGTGTTTCCAGGTTTTCCATAGTGGTCTAGCTTCAATTGACTCACGCTTTCAACTAAGTATTGTATGTTTCTTGTAATCTTTCTGCTAAACTCGTAAAACTAATACAAGCTATGAGAATAATAAAATAAATCTTTGATAGCAATTTCATGGTACAATTTCAGGGATTAGTTGAAGTTAGACATTAACACCATCAGATTCTGGTCCAGTGATCTAGAGGTTGACCATTCGCGCGCTAGGCCAAGAGTCGTGTGTTCGAATCCCCCGAGCATCAGAGTGGATGCGCACTGCTGAGTATTCCCACTCTAGAACGAGTCAGTCATTCAGTGCTTCCAGGTTTTCCAGAGTAGTCTAGGTTTAGTCGACTCATGAATTCAACTATTAAATTACTATAATCTCCAGTCTCATTTTCTAAATTAAGTATTCGATTAAAATGAATGTGATATTTTGGTAAATCAATTGTCAATTTTCTAATACATCAATTTGCCTAAGGCTTGGTTGACCTTTATCTTTCTTGACATTGATATCACTTCTCAAATTAAGATAACATTAAATTCAATTTACACTCTAAAGCACATAGTTATAACTTATCGGTTTTTTGAATTGTGATATATTATTTGACACTGAGCCATAATAAAGTGAAACATTAAAAATGATATAAATAAAAGGAAAATAATGAAGCTAATTTGCAAGAGACTATGGGTAAAAATACCTTCAAGACATCACTTTCCAAGTTACTATAGTTCCATTTGTGATGTGTTAAACGGATTATTTACAAAAAAACAATTATGTAACATTTTAACTAAACATAAAGTTAGATATTAACACTGTTGGAGGCCTAGAGGTTAAACGTTCATACGCGAGACCGAAGGTCGTGTGTTCGAATCCGGTGTGAGGGATTGCGAATACACACTGTTGAGGAGTTCCATACTAGGATGAAACAGTCGTCCAGTCCTTCTAGGTTTTCGATGGTAGTATAATATTGGTTGATTCACGATTTCAATCAAAACTCAACAATTTCCATAACCATGCATTGGATAAATCTGAATGGTTTCTTTCTTATTTCAATTACATCCTATATGTGATACATTAAATATTAAAACCATATTAGTGTAATTCTTTAAAATTCATTCATTCATAAACTCGAAACAATCTTTATCATAAACCTCAACTTCTAAATCATCCAGAGCCATCCCCCCCCAACGGTCAATATTAAATGTTCATTTTAATATTTAAGTAAAAGTTCTAGTTATATGCATTTTTAAAAAAATAAATAAATAATCGGTTGAATAAACAAAATACCTCTTAAATATTACTATTATATATAATAGTAGTAAATTGCCGGTAAAATGAAATTCATGTAATCCATACCATAAAAGTCATGTGTTTATTACCCATTAAAAAGACAGTCATCATTTATAAGTAAACATTTTCATAATATCCGCTTTAAATTTTTGTTTATTTATAGTTGTCTGTGGTAAATTTAAACAAAATTACTCATAAAATCTATGAGTGTTCTTTTTTTCAATAATAGTCTCCTCATTATTGAGATTGAAAAGTTTTAAGTAGAAGAACATCTCCACCGGAACAAAAACTTATACATAGAATAAAAGAGAGAGAGAGTGTGAGAGAGAGGGTTATGAGAATGTTCAATGCATAAATTATGCATAAAGACAATACTAAGAAGCTATAAATGTCATATATCCTTTTTGAGATTATTCTTTTTATAATACGAAATATTAGTAGTATATATAACAGAGGATAAATTAGAAATCAAATTATTTGATACCAACGAGAAAGAGCACATCACAGACTGATGTTATTCTACAATAAAATGTAAGCATAAAAATACTTTAGTTTATTGAAAGATTAACTGTACAGGAATTTAAACACTTTTAAATTGTTTAAATTTAAACTATACTTATAATAAACCCATCTTAATATGATAATGAGCACTTCTGAAGAGTCCCATACTAGGACAAAACATCTCTACAATCCTTCTAGGTTTTCAATGATGGCCTAACATTGATAAACTCATGATATCAACCAAAAACTTAACAATCTCCATAACCTCATACTGATACTTAATAATTGTTACAAATCACTACTGAGACCAGCTGAAAATCAAGAATGAAATATTATTTAGTCCCTCTATAAAGGAAGGTCATTTGATGTATGTAATCATGTTAATATTAGTCTATTATTATTATTACTTAACACACATTATTCACTGTTCTTTAAACAGGCAGCTCATTAATCAAAACAAATAATAATAATACTAATCCTTGGAAATAGAAATAGTTCATGTCAAAATTATGACATAATTTCCTTATATATATATGTGGTGTATAAGCTTATTGTTTATAAGACATCAATTAATCTGACACCATTATTATTACTATTACTGTTATAACATGAGGTTTCACAATCTGTTTATTTTTGACATCTTTCCATTTATCTATTAGGTAAGAAATTCCTTATTTTTACAAAATAACCCTGAATTGTTTTTTTTTTTTTCAAATTCCGTAATAATATAGTCTGTATCATACTAGAAATAACCTTATTGTTGTTGTTGTTGAGTAAATGGGGCAAAAGAAAATGAAAAGTTCTCCAGAGAATTAATAATCTACCTTCCTTTTTTTCTTGTTTTTTTTAAAAAAGAAAAAGAAAATTAATTTAAAGAATAATTAGTCATTATTTTAACAAATTATGATGCTTAATGAACTAGGAAATTTTGAAATTGATCATTTATATGCAAAAATGGATAGCGGCTAGTAGTGGAATCCAGTTTGACGCGCGTCTCGTCCTAATTGGGATTAGTCAGCTGGATGTACCTGCATCTCAGACTCGAACCCAGTACCTTTCACTCCAAACGCCATCTCGTTATCCACTCAGCTACTGAGTCCTTATAGTCACTTGCTTGTGCATTAGGGTGAAGTGCTTGTGAATTAGGGCTACATCGAGGCAATACGTACAGTATGCACATATGCTAATAAGGGGCTGACCAATTGCCGACCTAAGCATCAATGGGAAGATTCAAACAAACAATATTACGTGAATTGATCATTTATATTTTTTAAAGTTAGGTAAAATTATTGATTTATGTAGACAGAGATAAGGGGTAAATCTTCTTTTAATTGTTAAAACAATTTATTTTATAAATGTAATATAAACTGGAGAACTACTGAAGAGTACAGTGCATCTGTTTTTCATCCTACTATGGAACTCTTTAACAGTAGCCATTCAAACGCCGGATTTTCAGGATTTCCGTCTTACTTTATTCATAACTATTTCATTAAATTAACAGAGATTGGAATTTATTGTCTTATAACTAATATTGACATAAATTTACCATCCCAAATGCTAACAATTGTAAATCCATAACTGACTTTCTAGAACTTTACAGCCATTTCGATATTTATTAGTTTTTTTAAGAAAATCTTTTTAAATTCATGAAACTATAAGCCACAAATATTTTATAACAAACCTAACCTTCAATTCATTTAAAAGTCAGACCTATCACCCCCATCAACTAGTTATGAATGCTTACTTTATTGATCTTATAAATCCTTCTACAGGGACAAGAACCCAATTTTATGAAATCCTCTTATAGTATATAAGAACTTTCGTCTAAATTAGAGTGAATAGTTTCACAGTATTTTGGCTCTGAGTTGATGTAAGACATTAAATAGGAATAATAGATTTTTAAAATCTCAGCGAATGAATTTGAAGTAAATCCAACGTTTCATCTGACAATCTGGTTCAAGCTTTTTCAAGCAAATATTTCCTTGCCAGGCGAAATGTTGGATTTGCTTCAAATTCATTCGCTGAGATCTTACAAATATATTATCCCCAATCCTCTTATAGCTTGGAGCTACAATATCACGTGTCACAACTTAAGTTTTGTGTTTGAAATAACAAGGTAAGTATGTATTAGATTTTGTTTAATTCTGATGATACATTTCCAAATGGAGCAATATCAATTTTACAATCTGAAAAGCTTTCGTAAAAAGTAAATTGTTATACTCTACTTTTAGCATATTCTAAATTGATACATTCAATGAAATCATTTTTATTAAATTTAAACTTTAATCCCTTATAAAAGGTATGGTTTAAAAATCGTAGAGCAAAATGGCGAAAACGTGAAAGACATCTAGATGTTGTACTACGTGGAACTATAAATAATCCTTTTGCGCCTTTAATTCGTTCTGGAGTTGGTCATCTACCTAATGGATTTGTCAATCATCCAATATATGGGACGACTGGACATAGTTTTCCATCAGCACGACAAAATCAATTGTCTAATACAACTTTAACATTTTCACAACCACAAGTATCTTATTTTCAAAATTCCTCTACGAATAATTCGCGTAATTCGTATCCATTTGTATCTAATTTACCATGTGATAATGTATTACCAAGTTTGATAAATAGAACTAGCCCGAATTCTCTAAATCAACCTTTTACTGATTTTACAAATGATAATCGAAGTGATACAGATGAGTTTCATAGTTATCATCTTGGATTGCCAGGTACATATCCGTTTAAATCTATCAGCAATGGTAATAATAATAATAATAATAATAATAATAATAATAATGAGTTAATCTACTCTATTCCATGCTGTATGTCACAGAATGAAACAAATTTACACGTGGGATTACCGGTATGTTTACCCCATTCAACATGGATAACTAATTTCAGTAATACTGATTATAATAATAATAATAATTTGCAATCTACAGACTTCAGTGCAGCAGCTTTTGCCGCATCAAACATGTTGAATACTTATTCATCAGTAATTCATGGAATCAATTCAACAAATCTACTTGGTTTCAATACGAAGAAAAATCCTAATAATTACCCGTCTTTTACTTCAGCAAATTCATTTTTATCTAATGAAACAATCAATCAAACAGTTAGTCCACTATTAAATTATTCAAATCACTTACAAAATACAGGTTTACGACCATTGGATGTATCATTCACTACTGAAAATACCATCACTAAAAGTAGTTGTCTTGGATCGACGTTACTTTCATCAGAAACAATGTCATCGATGGGAACAACACCAGTGACAGGATTGACAAGTATACCTAATTGGCCATCTATCAACAAGCCTATGAATTCAAATCAGTACATAGATGATTTTCCGTCAATAAAAATGAATACACGTATAGATGACGAAATCAAATTTCATTCAAAACAATTTTTATTTGATGATATAAATAATTCATTGAAAACATTCAAAGATACCAAAGATTATGTGAAAACGTCATTTACAAGTGAAAATAAACCTTCTTTGCAACAAGTAATGAATGCCGATCATAATACTACTAATATAAGTAATATGCATGATTCAGAACTAACTAACAATATACATTTTGATAACTTTATTCATCCTTTTATTGCAAAAAATGAAACGTATTTTAATACAAATGAAAGCACTGAATCTATAGATTGCATGAATACAAATCGCCATTTCTCGTCATCACCGATCTCATCGTCACCATCATCCACAGTACCTTCAGTATTAAATTCAATATCTACAAAGAAATATGATTACTTACAATTAATGAATTCATCACAATCAAATGAAATATTTTTTGATAGTACCAACCATCGTAGAGTAAATGAACAAAATTTCAAATTAGAAGAACCATTATCTATAAACAAATCATTGATTCAATATCATCCGTATCGTCAACATATACGTCCAACACAATCACAATCATTTCAACACCAGATAAATGAACCTGTACTTATGATGCCTGGTAGTACAAATAATTTTTCATTTCTACCGACTGCAGCTATGATGGCCGCAGCTGCTGCCGTAAAAATGAATACAAATGTATGTAATACTACAAATTTTAATGAATCAAAAACTTTAGTAAATATCATGTCAAAAACTTGTACGCCAACTGATACAATGACTAATCCAACATTATCAGAACGATATACAAATTTAAGTAAATTCCCTACTGTAACAGACACAATTTTAACAGACGCTTCAAGAACAACAACAACAGTATCATCATCATCTTCTTCATCATCGAATATTATAAATGATAAACAAACTAACCATGGAAATTATCGAAATTCAATGTTCACTCATTATGTTCTACCACAAACCATTCATGAAACCAGTCAATTGAATGAAGTTAATCCAATTTCAAATTCAAATATTTATCAATTCTATAATTAATATTTGGAAAAACAAAACAAAACGAGATAGAATATTAAAACAATTGAGGGGAAAAGAAAAATTTGAATGATCTGAATATCTTCCAGTCACTTTTTGTCATAGAAACAAATAAGTCCATATGAATTTATGAAAAAACAGCTATCTTATGTTCATGTTGTATGTATAATATGATCATTAATTAGGTATTAAATGGTTGACAACTGCGTATACAAATGTATTTGGATATAGATATTTTTATTCTTCTGTAAATGTATTCAATGTATATTGTGGTTATTAATTTTTTTTTCAACCATTTACATATTCAACTATTTAACATTCCATTTTGTTCAAACAAAACATTTTCTGATTGTCTTTAATTATATTACACAGATTGTATAATATTAATAATATAGATAATTTGTTGAATTATTAATTTACAGAAAGAATTTATGATAAGTATAATTTTTAATAGATGAATTTATAAGTCAATGTAAACTAGACAACTATTGAAAGTCGGGAAGTAATAGACGGCCATCTCGTTCTAGTATAGGACTCTTCAGCAGTGAGCATTCAAGGTCATGCATGTGGGATCCGAATCCAGGATCCTCAGACTCGTGTGCAAATACTTAATCTACAATGGTGTTAATGTCTAACTTCCATCGATCCGTGAATAACTGCGCAACCATTCATCCATTATCTGAGGTAGATACTTTTCTCTACCCTACACGGATTGTACTCCACTAGTCACTGCTTCTCACTAGAACTGTAGTGAACAGAACACTGGTTGGGGACAATCGAATGTATTTAAGCAAAGATTACAGACTATCTCAATAAATTCTGATTACCAAACAATGAACAGTCAATTTGCAAATTAACAACCAATTGTTTCAATCTTCACTGTTTCTTCTCTAATTCCATTGCTCATGCATTTTCCAGACGATTGCGCTTCATTCCAGTTCTTTCGTCATCGGTCTTCTGCCAAAATACATTCTATGTCTGACCCACACCATATACTACTTATATGGATATAAGTAGACCACACCACACTCGTCCCCCCTTTAACGCATTCGTTCATGCGGTGGTTCTGCTCGCCACGCCACTATCTTCTTTCACTGCAGTCTGTGCCAAACTCTCCGTCAGAATGTCGAGTCTGCGGCGCGCTGACCTCCATAGCTCCGTCGACCTGCCGGGGCACCAACATCCGCATCCACCCGGCACCTGGGACGTTCAACACCCGTACTCCACCGGCCTGCTGAGCCATCTACATCCGATGTCCGCCCAGCAGCCGCACGTCCCACTGCTCCTCTCCATCGACAGCACCCGCTACAGCCAACGCCGCCCCGCCAGAACACGCCACTCGACGCCAACTCTCCGCACCGGACTGCCCCAACTAACACTTCAACTCCAGACCCGCAGCGGCGTCCGCAGAACAGCACCCTTCCTCCTCCCGGTTGGCAGCGACACCAAATGTAGTGAACAGAACACTGGTTGGGGACAATCGAATGTATTTAAGCAAAGATTACAGACTATCTCAATAAATTCTGATTACCAAACAATGAACAGTCAATTTGCAAATTAACAACCAATTGTTTCAATCTTCACTGTTTCTTCTCTAATTCCATTGCTCATGCATTTTCCAGACGATTGCGCTTCATTCCAGTTCTTTCGTCATCGGTCTTCTGCCAAAATACATTCTATGTCTGACCCACACCATATACTACTTATATGGATATAAGTAGACCACACCACAGAACTACAGGAAATCATCTTGGAGACAGTTACTAGTGAGCATTAACACCGTTGGATGCCGGTTCATTGGTCTAGAGGTTAAGCGTTCGTACGCGAGGCCGAAGGCCGTAGGTGCACACTGTTCGGGAGTCCCATAATGGTTTCTGGTTTTCAACGATGATCTAGCTTACATAGATTCATGAATTCATCTATTAAAATTACTACAATCTCCACAAAACCCCATTCTGAAAATATGATTTTCTTGAAGAACGGTCGTCAACCGAAAAACCGTAAAAAGATAACGTGGAAATAGTGAACATTCTTTTCTATTCAGCGACTGATTTTCATGAATATTTACAAATATGTAAAATTTCTATATTCTAAATTAGAATAACACGTACAAGTGAGGAATACTATTTTCAGTTATATCTCCAGCGGGTTCTACGTTGATATACAGTAATATGTATATGCATATACCAAAATACTTAACCAACGAAGGCGACTTATGAGTCAGGAATCACAACAAAATAGACTACACAAGTAAGCACCATAAGTAAAAAATATGAACTGATAATGTGAGGATAGACGTACTAGTTGTGTTAAGAATAATAAAGACTTGAATCAATGTTTCTTAATAGGAGGTAGATCAATGACTTTAAAAAATAGACACTGAAGTAAAATTTATTGAAAACCATTAGAATTACATAATAAGATGTGTTTTAATAATTAGACAGTGAAGAAAAGAGACGAAAATGGATTCAGAAATATACACAAATAAGGATATGTAAAATAGTAACAACAAGTAACATCACTTGCTAAGCTTAAGTAGTCTAAGAAAATGATCAGTGTCATAAACTTCTTATGTAAACAGAGACTAGGGTTTTTAACTCAACTGATTATAGATTCTGCTATATCTTGATAATGAGGTAGAACTCAACAAGGAAAATCAGAAGGTATACGATAAAGTACTCTAAATGACTTGATTCTATCTGCTGCATTGACGCTATCTACCAAGTGTGACAAAACGAAGCTCCTTATTTTCTTTACACACCGTTTCTCAACTACAAAGGGTAGTTTCTAGTAACTCATTAGCTTTGTTGTCTGGCTGTACGCTCAATACAGCTTCTCTTTAAGAGCAGCTGGATTAGTAGAAAAACATGAATCGAGCTAAACTGAGTAGATTATTCTTAAATAGTGGAATAACGGCTGACATTAAAACGACTAAGACCTTTTTTTCTTACTCCTGAAGATAAACGTTAAGGATATGACCACAACTGTTAAGAAAATGATGACTGCAGTGACCAGTGGAGTTCAACTAGGTCTGTTGTGAGATAGTAACCCACTGAAGACAATGGTGTATGTGTCGCTCAATTTCGTTGATTGGTTGAAGTTAGATATTAACACCATTGGATGCCGGCTCAATGGTCTAGAGGTTAGGCACTCGCACTCGAGCTCGAATCTCACGAGACAGGTTCGCGGATGCGCACTGCTGATGAGTCCCACAATAGGACGAGATGGCCGTCCAGTGCTCCCACGTTTTCCATGATGGTCTAGCTTCAAGTGACTCATGATCTCAACTATTGATATTAGTATAATACCCATGAAACCTGTTCTGATATATATATATATATATATATATATATATATATATATATATATATATAGAGAGAGAGAGAGAGAGAGAGAGAGAGAGTTGTAGAATGCAGAGAGTTACAAATTATCGCTATCTGTAACCAAATTTGAACTTGAATCAAAAATGGTGATAGTGTAGTTACCAGAGCTCATTCTTATTGAAAAAATTTTCACTGAACAAATTGTTGGCTCTTATTATTCATCGTGAAACAGTAATAACCGATCTAATATGTTTGAAATTACGGAGATTATTGGGCGATAGATTTGAAGAGTGGAAACCGGTGAAGGGCGAAGAACTACTAACTAACCCAGGGGCGACTACGAGATGCAGATCTAAACTGGAGTTGTTTTAATGTTACTCAGTGTCATGAAACTGAAATACCTTATCATTCAACGTAGTAAGCACACTTAAAATTTATTTATAGGAAGTCCACAGACATTGAGGACAAAATGAAACTAACTTATAAGCAAAGATGGATGGTGGATAATAGTGGAATTCAGGACGTGTGTTTCGTCCCATTTTTGACTCATCATCTGGATGTACATGCATTCCAGAGTTTATGTGTCACTCCGGAACTGATCAATCGCAGTCCTAAACATTAGTGGGAAGATTCAAACAAATAATACAAAATAAATTAAACTTCACCCCATTGCACAAGCTAAAGACTATCAGGGCTCAGTAGCCAAGTTGATAACGTAATGGCTTCCGAAGAAAACGGTACTGAGTTCTAGTCCCAGAGTGAACATCAACTATGGGATGCAGGTACATCCAGCTGACGAGTCCCAAATAGGACGAAACACGCGTCCTGGATCCCACCGCTAGACACCATTCATCCCTGCTAATGATGCTTGTGAATTAAGGGAATAATGAGGTAATCTGCACAGAATGCACATATACCAATAAGTGACTGATCAATTGCAGTCCATAACATCAATGGAAAGATTCACGCAAACAAAATGAATTAAACTAACTGTAAGTAAACCAGACTATAGTAAGATCTTTCATACAATATACGAACAAAATTCTTACTACTTAGTATTAACTCTATCATTGTTAATAATTCCCACATTTTAATTGTAGATTAGTTTAGCTTTCTGACTAATAATGTCCATTTATTTACATTTAATCCTTAAACATTTCGGTATATTTATTCAATAATCTAAAATTGGAAAGAATAAGTAGTTCACTGTAAATAATGATAAGGTTATAGAAAAGGGAACTTAACACTTTTTTCCCTTGTACTATTTAAACTTGTGTTAATTTATTTCGGTTACTTATTTACTCTGAAGAAGTAGCTTATATCAGGTCACGAAACGTCAGAAATACAATTTGTCTACTCATTGGGATTTAAGAAAGAAAATATTCATCATGAACTTAGCATTTATTTTAAAAGGTATAACTTCAGAGAAGTTGATATTTAGTAAAATGTTAGTACATTAAATAAAAAACTTTGGGTATCTGATGAATGTAGGTGTGGGTATAATGTCCATACGACAAAAAGCATTATTGATAGATAAAAAGTCTTCAAACTTCTAACTATTCGCTGTCCATACACAGTTATCATTTCTTATTGCACAGATGTTTGAAAATACCATCATGACAAACACTATATTGAGTAACTGTGGTGGAATTTATACACTAATTACTTATATGAGTGATTATGATTTATTTTAAAAGAGCCACAATAACAATATATACAATAACGCAGTTACTTTGTTAGTTGAGTTAATGATAAGGCATGCAAACACCCACTTTCTCAAACTTCATTTAATGTATATGAAACCTTAAATGTGAACTCTGTGTCAGACATATTTGCAATCATTATCTCAGGATTCGATTAGCATCTAGATAAAATATATCCAAAAAGCCGCTACCATGATAATAACTAATAATCCGTAAATTACCGGGGTTTGTGACTAGTGAATTTCAACTATACTGAACCTGAATTAATTACATAAAAATGGTATCAAATGACCATCACTATATATTATGAACTAAATGAAACGGGAAATCTAAA